GACTGAAGCCACAAAACTAGTTGATACTATAACGCCTTAAAAAACGTGACGCTGAATGCAAATACCATCGGGAGATGGCGGCTGAATCGATAGTCTGATACAATTATGTACAATTGTTATAAGATTTATTTTGGTGAAACAGCCAAGTGAACGACCTCTGACTTTAACATCGGCCTGAAGACAGACTGCGTGCTGATATCTTGCACCGTCGTTTTCAGTGCAGCAGTTATCGACTCAGTTTAGGAGGATATTGCCTGGTTGAACCTTGGGTTTTTTGTCTCCTAAATTTATCCGTTGTCTAGGGCAGAGAATTTCAATAAATTTATTCGTTCTTAATACAGTTGTCAATACAGAAATGAATCTCGTATCTTTACGAACGGAGTAAATAAAATGAATGGCCATGGGCAGTTTTAAACAGTGGCTAATCAGTGTCGAACCTGACATGACTGGATTAACTGAAACAATCAGACGATTCGAAGGGCTCACCAGCCAAATGCCCACAATTTCTAAATACCAACCAGATTCCAAAAATGTTCAGCAAAATGGACAAGTTTCCCAACGATTTGCAGTGAACTGTGACAACTTAATAGGCGACTTAAAAAGATCAAACTTTGAAAGAATGCGTCTTTATGACCTCTTCCTTGTAAAGTGCAGGTCAGTAGACCGATGACGAATTATCAAGTTATAATTAGCTTTTTCTTATTTTTGTGCAACTTTTGTTTTCTGCTTCGGTTCTGTGAGATCGGTGGTCATTTATGAGATAGCAAACAAGTTGCAGTTTACTTCAACTGCTTCTGCATAAATTCCGGAATGCCGTAATCGATGAATTTGTGCTGTTGAAACTTTACGTGCAACTGAACAATAGCTTCTCAGGGTGAAAAGTTCCCATTTCTTGGATCAATAGTCATTGAATCTGATTTCAAACATAAAACAGAATGGCGCGCTCAATGCCGAGTTAGGGCCTTCAGAATTCTTTCATCGAGAACCCTCTCGACGCAGACAGCCAAAGAGACTCATGGACGACAGCTGGCACACGTAAGGGCAAGACAGTACACGAGAGATAAGGTGCAAAAAGTGCTCATTTCTCTCGTGGAAGATATCATTAATAATATTCAGTGGTTGCTGCAATAAGTGCCAAATTGGGTCTGTCACGAACAGGTTAATATTGGCACTTCATTGCATTCAAATTGAATAAGTGTTGGAAGCATCAGGGAACATAGTTTAGGGGACCCAAAATAAAGCAGTTTTCATGCTCTTCGTCACAAAATATGGTCCAAGTATTGTAAGTTCATTGATTTATCAAAGGGTATTTTCGGTTACACGAGAAATTTACTGTTCATTTTTTTCGAGGAATGCAAGAGGAGTTTGGCTACGTCTAAATTACATAGAGCCACCAGGGAATCACTATTGTAGTTTCTGGGTAGACTGTCCTAAGAGGAGGACACATTCACTCTCCTGAAGCGCCAGATCGATTGTTGTGAAGAAATACTACACCAATCATTTTCTTACTTTTTTCTTACTGAAAGATCACGTAATATACCAACCATGTTGGCTGTCAACATACCTATTAGTCAGACGGTACAGAAAGAAAACTACATCAAGCATACGAAACACAAAAGGTATACAAAGGGAATGGACTTATACGAACGTAGTTGAGAATATCCAAAATGTTTCAATAATAATTGTTCGATACTTATTGCAAGGCATTAGTGATAAACAACGACAGTCATTCAGTCAGTAGATGACAACGGTATAGTCTTGTTCGAGTGGGCAAGCATCTATATGAGTGAATCATTATGAGCTTGAAGAATTCACGCAATTAGGGCCGAACCCATTCAATTTACCACGAGGAATGACAGGAGAATTGATACGTAATTAATCATACCGTTGGTTATGGAAAGATAGGCAATCGAATATATTTAAATACATGATGCCCTTACCTTTCTTTTCTACAGAGAATAGCAAGATCAAGTTAAGGATTACATCACACTTATTTCACATCTTTAAATGTATTACATTTTGGTTGAATTACTGGACAGCCATATGGTTCGGAGTATAATCACTATACCACAGCGGGATTTCGTTATTCTTATGGTTGTGAACTTCAAAACCAGAAACACATAATCCTCCAATCTGGGAACACTAGAAAATGAGACAATGTAAGAATAAAGATTTCAAATAGCACTTGTACTATCAATCTTTGTGTAATCGCAAAATAGTGCGCCTACAGTTGGTTGCAAAATTATGAAGAAACGTCACTCCTAATTATTTCATAGCGCAGCTGAAATAAACTGTTTTCTTTCCACGTTTGCTTATTTGATCCGGATCTGTTTGAGAAAGCTTTTATGAGGGAAAGTCTCTAATATCAGGTAGATACGCTTATATTACCTGTTCATATGTGATGTTTCGTATTATCGTCGGAAAAATAAGATATTGTTCAGGATCCTATCCTATCTTGACCGTAAACAACAACTTGGCAATGAATAAAACCACACCGAGCAAATTTTTGCAAACTATGAATAAGACAGGAAATGAGGGCCATTATTATTATCCAGTTTTACTCCCTGGTACATGCACACGGTTGCCGAGATATCAAACATGAGAGGCGTACTTGTACTTCGTAGACGAACCACCAACAAGGTTGTCAGAAGAGGTCAGTAAATTAACATTCTGACTAGGTTGTTGCCTTTTGAAGCCATAACTGGCAAATAGTGATTTCATCCAGCGGCATTTCATCAGCGCTTTCTAGCTGGCATAATTTGCATTCATTCGATGGAAATTATTGTATTTCTAAGTAGAATAAATATTAACCCAACTGTTGAGTATTGACGCACAAATGGCTCATCTTCTTGCGCCATATCGACATGTTTTTCGCGGATTGTCAAAAACTGTACTCAGAGAATAAAAGACTCTTTTGTCGGAAGAATGACTACTCATATGATGAAATAACGCCCTTCCCCAAACTTCTTCCTGTTTGTTTGATTACCTCTCATAATACTAGTTTCTTGTCTATTCAAGGCAACCGAAACTCTCACATTCCCTCCAAATTCATTTAGCGGCACCTTGCTCGTACGCCAGACTTTTCGCCAACATAATCTGGTGGGAGCTGAGTGTGGAATTCAATTTTCCTCAGCTAGCAGTTCCCCTTTTTAGCTTGAAATAATTGCCATCTTCATTAAGCCACCGCATACACTTGTATAATAATCTTATTCCTCTAATGGCGTTTAGACCATTGAGTTTGGTGGTATTTTTTACAGCCAATAAAGCAATTCATTCCACTTTCCTTGTGAAGAATGCAGTGAATATTTACTTTCTTTCACCATTTAACTAGAATTTCCAGAAGTAAATTGTTCACGCTTTCCAACTCAACCTTTGGCTTGTTTCCAATCAATTTGTTTATTTAGTATCTAGAATAAAAAGACAACTTGATGCACACAACGTAAGAAATATGAGCGGTTATACATCGTTAAATCAGCTGGATTTCTTCCGTTTACATGCCATAAATATACCTTCAGCGATCTATTTCCCTCAAACATCCAGCTTGAAAGTCAATTTTAAGTGCATTTTTCAGGTTTCTGATCACTTACTTCGGCAATCACCGATGACATGCGATCACGGTAATAACTGTTACTTCATAATAACAATCTCCAAAGTTCTTTTTCGTCAGTAATAATTATTCTCTTTATAGGTTAAAGTGTTCTTCTTGGACTTGGGATTCTATTTAGTGACAACAAAAATTGGTCTCCGGATAATAAATCGGTTTCTCCAGCACTCATGTTCCGCTACTACTGTGCAAACTGTGAACAAAGTATTTCACAAATTCCATGTATATTCTCTGAACATCGATCATAGACCTTCATACAACCTATGTTTTATTCATCCTCTCTTCTAACATATAGTACCACTTCCTAAACATTTTATTGCTCATGCTGACACTTTTTTACCGGATAACAGTTCGATTAGTTGGTTGTTTCTTCTAATGCAGCACGGATGGATCTAAAACAGCGGTTGGTTTCAGGTCACACAAGTAAGATAAGCCCACGGCTTTGATGTTGCTTTTCTGTGTCTCAGGAACCTCTCTGCATTTTTGGTCACGTGAAGTTGTGCAATCTCATGGGTCTAGTCTGAAGAAGGAATCTAATTCCCCAGGTCTGAGTGTCGGTTAAGAATTGGTGAATGTACACTTCTCATGTATCCTGACAAGCAATATCGACCAGCTGTACCCGGAGCGCATTGATGAGTTGCTAAAGTCGGTTGAGTGTTCCGTGTGCATGATGAATAATTATGGTTGGCAGAAAATCCAGGTCTCCTAATGGTGGGACAAAACGAGGGAGCAGTAAAACTTCCAAACTGTTTTTAAAGCAGCCGTTACGATTTTGTTCTAAATTTGTCAGTGTTGCAGGCAACACGTTTTTCGCTCACTTATTCTAATTAACCAATACAACCCATCAGTTATCCTGATTGAGCTGGCTCTTTTAAAATAACATGTCAACCGTTAGCAATAAACGTAAATATGAATAATTTTATTGAATAAGGCTGAAGCAATACGTCAAGTTTTCTAATTGGTACATACATTACAATCACGTCAATAAGGCCATGTCTATTACTTATCTGAATTATTTTATTACATGCTTGCGCATTATTCCAATGGAAGGGACGTGCCTCACACCCACAGAATTCCTGCACACTGCTGGGGACAACCCTGAAACTTGAAGTGGAGAACCACATAAGGTTCCAATTGACCGGGTGAGTTAACGAGCCGGACGAGAGCGAATTATTTTGTATCACCAAAATAACCCGTGATGAAGGAGATTCGAACCCCAAAACTTAGAAATGATGAGAAGACGCCCTAAATCGCCCAACGATCGCCGAACAAATAATCACCACGGGCTTTTCGATAATACACAGACAGCGAAAGATCAGTGTTTCTGGGTCCAACAGTGCATGGTGGACGAAAAGATTAGTTTCACGCCAAGACTTTTTATTTGTCGTGCAATTTTCTATAGCAAACACAATACAAGCTCGTACAGTTTTTCCGACAGAGAGGAATACACTTTCAAATCAAACTTGATAACAGTTTCCTGAAAGTAAAAGTGGTAAAGTTGATGAGTCAAAGAAGTTGGACAATGTGAATATAGTTCATCAATAAACGGGAACACCTTTTGGATTGCAAAGCAGAAAATCTCATTCTATTTTCATATAAAGGATTCAATCAGTTAATTTGGCTCCCATGATATATATTTGTAGAATGCATTTGTTACCAAACGAAATACTTGACTATATCAAAAATTAGTTGGTTCGATATACCATGATTTTCCTAATCTATTGCACTGTACTACCTGTACTTCCGAATAAAATAAAATCACCGAGTTTAAAATGAGACCGTTTGGTGTTTTCAAGTCCCGTAACTACAACACCTAGTGTTGTATGTAAAGCCATTTCACCTCAGTCTTGTCTTTTGCTTGGTGACTAATTTTGTAGTTTGTCTCCTAAAGGTGAATGTCTCGATTCAAAAACATATCTGCGATAGATACGTTAGGTGATGTACGTCATTTTCCCTCAAGGAATAGAAAAATCTATGTATATTTCCTCAATGAGCATGCTTTCTATTAAACAAAAGCCACCGTATTACCATTATCCTTGTGATTACACGGCATTTATTTTGTCCATTTCTTCGTTGGTAGTGATATGCTGCACTGCAAGCTAACCTCTAAAAGTGGTAACAAAAACGCATGCTTAGCCCTCAGTAGACCAAAGCAGTTCTCAAGCAAGCGGAAGGTTTTCGTTGCTGACTTTTCTATAGTGATGGTCTTTTCACAGGTACAGTTGTTATGGTCAAACATCCGAGCGTTTTCTTTAAAAGATTCTGACAGGTTAACTGTAAGCCGTGGTGCAATATAGTCGAGATTTTGTTTCACGAAATGTAGCGTATTATGTAGATAATCGTTGCATTTTATTACTCAAATAGATTTCTACCCTAAAATGTGAAAAATCTGGTGGTCACGCTAAACACTACACCATCGATTAGATGATGCCGCGAGTACCCGAATTCCAGCTTTATCTGGAAACTGAGTGCTTCATGTTTCCGAGAATGAACTTCGTCTCGATTATGATAATTGCATTAGGGAGATGACTTCACATTTTTCAAAGGGGATTCCTACAAAGAGTTGAGGAACTAAACTGCAATCAGTTGAGCAAAACGTGACACATTTGGTTATTCCTTCGCAACTGCCTCTTTGCTATTCACTTACAATATCGTGTTCCCATGGGATTTCTTGATGAATCACCTTGAATTCAAAGGATCAATTTATACTATTACGGTTAAGCTGACCATCAATTCTGCATAGAACAGTTTGCAATCACATTCAAATCAGTGTTTTATGATAAATTATCTTTGTCGGAGATAAACTCAATTTTCAACAGCCGTACTCTGACTGATCGGTCGTTTAGCTGAACACAGCTTTATATAATCAGAGCATCAGAGTACCACACTCCATTACAAAAAACTTCCCCTCCGTGTTTTGTATTACCACCACGTCGCACTCTATATATTTCAATATTTTGTCATCCGTGTTCAATTCATGTTGAGATTTATTGCAAATTTTCGAGCACATATCCGATCAGTGTGTCACGCATTTTATTTCAGCCCGGCCGAGGCTCATTTCAATACATGCATTTATACTGACATTGCCTGTTAGTGTTGTTGGTTAATACAGGACTGTGAGTGTTGCAGCAAGATCCGCCCAGGAAGCTCTTCAGATGCTGTGCGACTAGTCTTGTTGCTACACGTAACTGAGTCTTTGCAGATAGTGTCACAGTGCTTATTCTGCAAAAGCATGCATGAACGGAATAACTCATGAGTAACAGATTCTCCGATTCAGAGATATACGGAACCTTTCTCCACACCCCTATTCTTCTGCCCCTTATTGACACTGACTGAAAGATACGTTGGACATTGATCCCGTAGGGAATCTGACCGGAGCTTTGTTGATCGTGACCCATGAACCTTGATCGCATTATCTATACACCTTCTCTAAAAACTGGTCACGCGTACTGCAAACCTATCTGAATGTAACTGCAGTTAACCACGTGCAATCTACGGAAAGCCAAAGCCCACCTTCTTTGAAGTTTCTGGAACTTATCGTGACTGTTTTACTCCACAATCAAAGTGGAAAATTACACTCGGACGTTTTGCTTATTTGCATTATGTGCAACGTATCTAAGGCACTTCCGTGCTTGCGTAACATCAAAGACGATAAGTATACTCTTCACTCTAAACAGGAACCTGCAAGTCAGAAGCCGAAAATAAAAAAACAGGTTTCCATTTAGGCACATCCATAGGTATGTTATGCCATCAATGAAATCTTGTGTCACTGTATAACATATTAGACCTCCCCTGATATCACTTATCAAGGAGTCAAAATCCCAGTGCACAAGGAAATTTACCACTTTTGAACGGCTTTACTAGGCAAATGTCCGCTTAGATTCGTGCTCATGGTTTATCTGGTTTTGCACACAACAGTTCTTTTCTGCCTTTAGTTGTTCGTAGAACTGAAAAGAGAGCTATACAAGAAAACCAAAACCTTTGAAAAACCATTTTTGTTGTTTCAGTTATTCCCAAGCTCTTAGCATTCCGCCATCCTGCAAATGCAACAAAAAATCCTAGTATGACTTGCGGCGACGTACCTCCCGCAGGTTTTCCATCTGAAAGTTATTGGTGGAACAAAACAAACCATAAGGAAACTTAGGAACATGATTGTTTGGGATGCTGGGGATAAGGTATGATATTGATAGTAAATAGTATGTAGATAGGTGGACAAAACGAAGTCATACAGCTAGCTTTTGAAAACCATGGTTATCCTTTTCCGTATCAGTAAATAAGCAATACGCACTGACTCTCAAACACATCTGTAGAAGGTAAATCGTCATATGTTCGATGCTCTAGGTATAGTAAATATTGTCAGATAGGCTACCATCGTACCGTTTTTGAAAATACTGTCTATGTTCACAATAGTAGTGAGTTCTTGTGATAAATGTCACAAATAAAAACAATCTACGTAATATGAGGTGACTTACATTAAATGAAATGCTCAACGAATCTCCAAATTATTGCGGTAGTTTCAAATGGGCCTACATGTTATTCGATGCCAAATCACTATTGAACTGCGAAATTCAGTTCTTGTTTATCATCATCCGATGAAATACGCGTGTTATAAAACCATGCACATGTGGAAAAGCAAACAGACCAAAAACATTGGAACCGTTCAAAGTCCAACTATGAAAAGCATGACACAGATTGGACACTTGATGCAAGAATGTAAAAATACTGTTAGCTAAATGTCAGAATATAACACCATGAAGGTTTTGATCTAAAAGTTTTCAAGCAGGACCTTGATACAATTTTATTTATGGGGTAATCGCCTATAGCAGGCAGTTAACTGTATTGTGTCACAGTAGGTATGACTTTACACACCGTCATCCCAGAATAAGTACTACAAAATCTTCCCCGGAAATATTCCGCCATCCACTCAATCACACGCAGTGAAAGGAAAACATACCGTAGTCGTCAAAAGGTGAATCATCCGCTATTTTTAAAAAGAGTGAGTAAAACCAAAGTTTTCAGTTACCTCAAAGCTTTGTGCTAGTAACGTATTTATTTTTTACTGTATGTCATTGATGAAAACATGGGATTTCGTAACAGCATGAATAAGTTTCTTTTCAGACCAAAGGCTGGATCTTTTGATAAGCTGGTATCTAATTATTTTTACAGTCTTCGTGGTATCGTTACTGAAGGCAGTACCGGTCCTGCCGCATACCGTCGGCTCCAGATTATCTATTCAAGAATCATTATCAGGTCTTTGGGAAGGTAGCAATCCACAAACCTAAATTGTACTAATAGTGTTTTGTCCATACCTTGGCCGCCAATAAAGTACACAATTTTGTCACTATTTATAATGTTTGATAAAATTATGGTAGTCCATTTGACTGCATTTTCTTGAACGTCAAGCAGGGCCACCTCATGCAGGATATCTAGAACCAGGCCCTTACTTTAGTAATGCAGTACAGCGTCCCACCTACTTGTCAAAATGCGATGCTGTCGGAATAGAATAAGTGAAGTCTCTTTTCTACACTAATTTAAAAAGTGCCGAAAACATTTGTAGTTCTCTTGTCTCCTGCCGGCAGTAAAACAAGCCTCATACTTCCACGTCTCAGTAGACCCGAGAAACAGTAATATTCACATCATCTTCCCTGCCTCTCCGATGCATTTGGTTGAGCAACAATTTCTGGGTGATTCAGTGTACGATTTGGATTACTAAAACGAGACCACATATCTATATAGAAATTCTAACTGAGTGTTTTTTGCTGCTATTTTACTCAGCGAAATCTCAACCCAAACTCATACTACTACAATTTAGCTCTCAGTGCTTTCTACTTGCAGTGATACGTTTTCCTGACAGCATTTCTGAGACTCACTAAGCAAAACCAAATGTCGTTTTACCAGTAAATAAGGATTTCGAGCAGCTGAGTGGAAACACGAATGAAGACGAGTTAGCCTGAGCTATGCAACCTTCAAATGTTTTCATACCAGTCCAGTGAAAATCCTCGCGTACGTAAATATATGTTCGGAGTAGTGGACTAACATCAGACCTCCCAAGCGGTCATTTCCGGAATGCGATTCAATCCTTGGTTCCACTCAAACCTCATAAATAGAAGGGATTTACTGATTGATTTGATACGGACTCGCCTGACAGGTTTTTACCTACTGGAACTTCTATTTAGGAGTTAGGCCTTGAAAGTATGTTCGCAGTTTATTATTTATTTATTTAATATTCACCGTACTGCATTGTAAGAGCTTGATTTATCAGTTCATACCCAATCCCCATTTCGGAGAAAATCCATCATGAATTGCGGCTTCTTTCGCACTTGTAGACTTAGAGCGACTCAATTGAGGACAACTTCGAAGAGTAATAAAGCCACTTGATACTTCCTTTCAAATTGTTTCCATCCACTCCTGATTCATTGGAAAATCATCACCCTAATTTCTGTGGTATTTTTATTTTGCGTTTGAACAAGAACATCAGGTTCCGTCTGTTTTCTCCAGTTGGGTGTAACCTGTTCGTCAAATAAGTCACTTCAAAGGAATGATGACCGATGCAGCACGATGCAATTCAACAACTTGTTGCGGTTGAAACAAAGCCGTGGTGTAAAATAGCATTCGTCAACTGATGCACTATTATGATCACGTATAATCGGAAGAGTTACGACGATTACGCTTTTTGCTTTCGTAGTTTGAATTCACTCAATTGTGTTGGTATTTGACTTAAAGCAATTTTTTGGATAGAATAGAGATAATACTACATGATTTGATAGTTTCCTTCGAATTCTTATGTTCCGAACTAGCGAAATGATAAAAGGTTTTCACTAACGAAAATGCCTTGATGGCTGCTCCGGAAATTTTGCTACTGGGTTTATCGAAATTGAACGTATTCATAGATGTCCCAGTGCATTTGATAGTGTTGGAAACGAGTTATTCTTGCATGTGTAGACCATAGAATAGCGATCGAAAGTCGTCGGTGCCAGAAAGCCACTTTCAGCACAGTTCCAGAAGGTTACTAAATTTTAAAAACTACATCTGGTACTGAGTTTAGCTTTATAACTCAAAATTTGCATTGGAAGGCAAGCATGTTCAAATAGTGTTTTTGGACTTATCATCTGAGAAATCCTGATAAATCTATGAAGGTTTCCATTTTGAAGTGTATTTTTTTGCACGGCCACAAAACACCCACATCCCCGATTAGAGTGCTATAAACAATCAAAGGTACGTGTAGGCAATTGGAGTATATTTATTGCGACCTTAAAAATTCACGGTTCCAAATTCACAGAGGCTTTCTCGGAGATTTGCCTCAGAGTTTGTTGTTAAAGGCAAATATGTATTTAATAAATGACTCATCAAAAGCAAAAAAGTCAACTGATAAACTGAAAATCATGAAAAGTGTTTCCTCCTAGTGGGGGATAATCAGCAGTGCTTATTCACTTATAAACAACCCGTAGTGATTAGGGCAAACACCAGCCCGGCTAACCTGGTGGTTGATTGTTCGAGTCCGACGCAGGGATCAGTGGATGCGCAGTGCTATAGGACTTCTTACAAAAAGAAACAAGCTGACATTGTTTCCATAAGTTTCAGTGGTGAATTTAGCTTCATTACTGCATTTTTACTCGTTTTTTAATCAATTCCAACTGCCTACCACTGAGGAATATTATATATTCAACACATGAATTCCAGACCAGTCAGACTGCGGCAACTGGAAAACGTTATATTTTGATACCCGGTGTTCAGTAAATCCATGAGTCAACAACGTGCTATCACGAAGAGTGCAGTAGAAAGAAGCCTACCGAAAGGTGCGACACACCGGAGGTGACTAATTTGACTTCAAAGATCCACCGTGTATGATTCACAGACAACGATCCAGTAAACGGATATAATTCAGAAACCTCGATTTTGGCCGGAAAAATAACAGAATTTCGAAGCACGTGCAATAATTCTAAAACTGTGACCAGTAATATATGGTGCGCTCAAAATGATCAAATATAAATTGAGTGATATGGGTTTGAAGAACAGTCGGTCACTCACCATCTGGGTCATCGTCCTCCCCGAAATCTATTTAGGAGCAGATTCAAACACATTGGCTGATTACCGCACGAAGATATCACATGTAGGCCGTCACTGATGAGTTTCATTGATCAAACGTAGGTGATGTATTTTGCTAATTCCCTATCTCTGTTACTACTCTCTGGAAATGAAAAATACCCTATTTAATCCGTAGAAGAAACACCGGGACTGTTTTCGTTTTTGTTTACGGTATTAGTTTTCGTTGCTTGTGTTAAGGAGAGTTTTGTTAAGTGTTATTTTTTGAATTACTAATAAGTCCCTTTGTCGTCCTTTTAAGAATGTCTTTCATCACCAGGAGGTTCGTTGCCATTATGAGGCAGGATGATACTTTCACTACGGATGGTATAACCATCTTTCTAAATCGGCAACGTAGTGTATGTGAAATGCATTAGGCAGAGCTGCGGAAACCACTGGTTATTGAATGCTTTTATTTGATTAGAGAACAAATGTCTCGTGTCCCAGGACATAGAAAAATGTTGGGATGCCTTATTCATTTTTTCCTCATTTTCCTTCATTATTTCGCTTCTAATTTCATCTCCCCTCCTCGTATTCTTTGAGTCGCAATCGTAGCATAAGATTTCAGATGTACATCCACCGTCAGACGTGTTTGGTTATTCTCAGCAGGAAATATCCGGGTAGGTGGTCAGTCAATAAAAGTAGACTCGTTTCCACGGCATAGTTTCGAGTAAAATGATCGTGGTGTTTTTCTTTCGAAACTGTTGTGAATAGATATGTGTACAGTGCAAAACAGACTCCGTAGCACCGAATAACAATCTAAAGAGGAATGCTCATTTCTCGATTTTTTCACCTTTTCTGAGATAGCCTGTGGAAATGCCAGGTAATCCAGTGGACAAAAGTATCGTCAAAACCTACTGGACTCTAGGGCCAGAACCCCTTTCCTCACGCACTTGAGAGTGAACTTTAATGATCTGAACATAAGTTGGAAGAGAAGAATTGGAAGTTAAGATTTTTGGAAACTTTCATTGCCCTGAACGATATCTCAAAAAGGTTTTAGGTTCATATAACTTGTTGAATAAAATCTGCCTCACAAGAGAGTTAGTTTAGGTGTGCACGTTTTAAAGTGGAAATGTTTTAATCAAACTTGTTTGGGTATTTTATTCGGGGATGGGAGATTTATGGTACTATTCAAATCCTGATATTGCACAGTTTCGGCTGCTAACAACGGTTGCTGTATTGCCACTTGAGCTGAGGGCATTTTGCACGTTTCAGTGGAACTTATACGTGAATCATAAGTAGTGGGACTGTTTTGTATCATTTTGCAGACGTTTTCGATGCATTTTCTCATGGCTCTTTTAGAACAACTGTGGAAAATCTGGGCAAATACTGTCTGGAGGTTACCTTTTGCCCTTTGTACATAAGTGACGACGTATTCTGACGAACCTCCTCGAGCAACTAACAAAATTAAACACCTCATTCCACCATTCCCACTTTGCAGATGAGCTAAAGATCAAAGCTACGCGAAGCTACACATATATTTTTTTCATTTTCAGCTGCACACTAGGAAAGGGCTCTTTTAGGGAACCTGGATTTTGCTACATACTCAATCTACGACGTACACGTAACCGGATAGAAGAGAAATCGTGGCTGGACTCACAGGTGTATGGTATTTACATGGTTCCAAAACCACTTGGAACCAAATGTAGTTTGCTTTTCAAAAACAAATGCCTTGATAATATCAAATGATTTTCAAGTACCTAGGACTCATGATTCTAAACAATTATGTGATTTCCCTTTGCTTTTAGCTGCGTTGTTTGGACCCGTTTCTGAGTTGGATGTTAGAGGACTCAGTTATTCCAAATGCCATCGAAAACACTAGTATCTATCGAATGGCAGATAACTGAGGTGTACCTAATGTGTACCGCATTCAAAGTGACCAAGTATGAACTGGGTGATATGGGTTTGGAAAGCTGTCAATCATTCACCATCAGGGTCATCGTCCACCCCGGAATCTACTTGGGAGCAGATTGAAATACACTCAAATGGAAACTAACAAAACTCGTTCTTGCGTAAAGGTAATTCGTGAGTCATGTGGAATACTGACATTCACAATTCTTGAAATGAAAGCCCGCGATCCTTGCAAAGGATTTTGAATCAGAACTGCAGATGCAGTAAATAGAGAATGGTTGATGTGGAATCGATAACTAGGCAATGTAGTTCCCGGGAAAGAAAATGAAATCTGGTCCGTCATCTAGGCAGTTTTGGGTGTTGAAAGCCATAGGAACGAAATCTCTGGTAGCTTTTGCTCTGTTTTGGTTTCATTTTATTTCGAGTGAAATACACAATTAAACAACGGTTTTCTATATTCAATTGTCCACGCAGTGTTGGTGAATTCCGAGGCAGCTTTTGCCAGCTATGCTGATCTGCTAACGCACAAAACTGTTTTCAAGTTTTGTATCCAATAACTGTGTCAAATATGTATACTCGTTTGCTGTTCTTTGTGGTGCAAGTTGATTCATCGCGTGATTATTCACAAAGAATTCCCCTGCATTCTTATTTCAAAAAACTGGAAAGTGTGTAATGCAAAAAAATTTACGGCACAAGAATGGGGCTGACTATTGATTCCCTTATAGCTTATCAGTTTATCAAAAGTTAGAATTGCCTTGGACAAAGTACGGCTACAGCTACTGATTTTTGTTTTCGCTATTCCGTATGTGATCGGATAAAGTCATGTATTTCTATATGCGAAAAAAGTATCAACTTTTTCACTGATCCTTGCTGCCCTGTAACTATTAGTTAGTTTCTAATATGAAATAAAAATTTTCAAACAAATCTAGCATTAGTTTTACTCCAAGGATTTTATCTTTATTGTCCACTATGCACGAGATTAAACAACTCAGAGCATTTAATGGTCAACTCCGTAAGTGTTTAATAAATATTTTCCAATAAAATGGGACAATGTTGTTTAAATGAAAGGTATGTTATATGAAATATGAATAAGGCATTTGCCATAAACAACATAGATTCATTGGATAGCCGTCTACAACCTTTTGATTGAGAACCGCATACATTCACATAAAGATATTAGGACAGGAATGAGCCATAAGTATCAACTGCTAAAAAATTTGCCCAATTTCGTTCACTTCAACACAATCACTGTGATGTTGCCCGATTTTCTTCTCTGCTCAGATATAATCGGGTGTCACTGAAAAAGATTAGCTATCCGAAGCTAAGTCAAGTATATAAGGAGCTATTTCGTCTATTGTACTGTTTTGACTGTCCTCAGATGCCTTGACGAAAAACGTATTCCAGTACAGTTGGTTTTTGCAATAGAAATGCCGTGGGAACACGATGAAAGGTGTTTGACCATCAGTCTATATGGAGAGCTTCTTGACTTTTTCCAATTCCATATGAAGACCTTATCGAAATTTGCGGCATTAACTTTGCTCCTTGTAATTAACTCCTCTTTCCTGAATTTTTCGTAGTATGTAATAACATAAGACAGAATTATAAAATCGTGTAGAACTTATTGTTAGTTGCTTCGGTTCTTTTGCAGTCCCTTGATGATCAAAATTACGTGGCCCTGCTTCTCATGATAAATTACACTGAGGTTCATAAGTGCTAAGTTAGTTGAATGTCAAATATAGCTTAATGATAATCCGACGGAGGTAACATTCGCCACAGACGGTTTTCATTTTTTTAAATGAAAGCCGATCCTACTAGCAACGTTTCATTTCTTTGAGTTATCTACCATGCTTTTGCCAAACACAAAGAAGCAAAAACGGACGGAAAAAACATGGAACGAACTGGGTTGTTTAAATATTCAAAAGCCAAATAATGGTGAATGCAAGCTTAACAGAAGGCAATCATTTGGCCAATTTCGAGCTCGTGACCCAGATTTTAAGAGTGTATGAGAGCAGCCCGTTGAATAGTCATATTGTTTTTGCTGCTTTGAAAAATGTATCTACCGAAAACCGAAAAATATTGCTATTTTGTCGAACAGAAAAGGGGCGACATTGTGCAAGATCATCGAACTGGTTTTCCGGTGATAAACATATTTCCTAAACTTTTGTGAACGACAGTACGATTTTTCACCTTTCTTTTTTAGGAACGTGGCTTCACATCAAATATGAGCTTATCCAAATCGGATAAAGATAGCTGTATTGGGATAAAAATGACGCCCTTAGAGCAGTAAATTTTTAACCTGGGTGAGGATTTTATGAAGCATTCTCGTGCTGCTCTGCAAACAAGTGCCGAGAAAAGTAAGTCGCTTCGGCCTTCAACCGATCGAAAATCAACATAGTTCAAACAACAAAGTTGGCTGAATGTTGTACCAAGGTAATACCCAAATCGCATCGTAGATCTTTCCAGCCGACGTCTTACTCTGAACTAGCCGTAAGGAGAGTTTAAAGTCATAAGAATATGTCCGTCGTAAAAATAAATTTCCGAATAAACTAACAATAATAATTTCCAGGTACCGAAACTCACCACTCTGGCTTATATGGGCTGCAAAACACCGCGATCAACGTTGTTAAAGGGGCGCTTTTGAAGATAACTTGAGCGAATTTGACTTCAACAAGCTCGAAAGATGAAATTTCCTTGAGCTCTATAACAGAAGTTATTCTCGGAAAATTCTACGATTGCTTAATGATACGCCAGATCATATCTTCTACGAGGTTGTACGTCTTATACACAAGGACATATCTAACTACGCTACAAAATATTGCCAGAGCTCAGCCACCAGATAATTCAGTGACTTAGTTCTAATAATTTTATGCCAAATGTCACCAATTGAGTAACATTAGGATTTTATTGGTTGAGTGTATAGAAAGTTTTACTGTAATTTTTCATTTAACGTGGAAAGCTCATATGCCAACAATTGATTATCAATTCTAAAACTTTGATGTCTAGGGAATTCTGAAAGAAATTGGCCCCGTCTTTTTGCGGTTTGTGTCAGCAGTCCGCATATCACAAGCTGTCATTATTAAAGTATTCATTCACTTGATTGCTTTATAGATACTCTCGATTAAGTACTTAGTAAGACACACTTTTGTTTGGAAAATGCTATTCTGTCTCGAGTACTTCATCATTTAACACCAAGCAACAAATATATATTTTAATGCAGTCTTGTTTTTGGAAATGGTCTCAACATACTCTCTTGTTTTTGAGCAGATTACGTACATCGCTTCTGTCCACATAATTGATATGTTTATTGAGAACGTGCTAGGTACATGCACGCAACAGAAATAACATAACAGATTCCACGAAATCTTAGACTCTGCAGCAACATACAAAATTTCGAAGTGCCAAATATTTCCTCCAAATTTATCCGGAGAAAAATATTTATCTCTTCGCAATTCAGACATTTAACAAATACGAACGTATTTGCAATTGAGTAGTAGGAGATTAGATTTGTATATAATATGATTCATCATGCAGCTTGAACGCTCAACTCACAGTCATTCACCCCGGGTTCGAGTCCCCTTGGAGGCTCGGTGGATGTGCACTGCTGATGACTCCCAACAAGGATGAAACAGCTGTACAGTTTTCAATGGTGAGTTGAGCATTCAAGCTGCATGATGAACCATATTATATACAAATACAAACATAAACAGAGATGAACGAAAAACAAATTTAACACTAAATCTTGAATGTATCCACTTTTCAGCGATGCTAACAATATCATAGGTTACCTTGTTTTGTCATCAACACAGAGGCTTCATAACTGATTACGAACTTCCGTGTTTATCCAGTGAACTGTGACAATCCATTAGCAGCCTTCAATTTGCAGCACCCCCTACTTGAACTGTTGTGCATTGTTGTACAATGAATGAAATAAAATTAAAAAAAACATTTTTCGAGCCAATCCTACAAAAGGAGGTACACTGGGATATTACTTATGCGGATCAGCTCCTCTCTGTTTATTTTTCAATTTCACATTCGGAAAATACTGTTTTCACTGTTGGTCTCAGTTCGATTAATGGGGATCCGGGTTTTGTTATACCCTCAATCCACAATCAGCAGATTGCCTGATGGTAAAGATAACCTCGCTGGATAGACATGCATAAGCTTTTTAAATGGACACAATCTGCCTGCACAAACAATAAGCTTGCCCAACCAACGATGCCCGGGCTGTTTTCCAATGATTTTGTTATGTATGAGGAGAAAGATTCTGCGCAAATGGTTATTTGGTTCTCAGTTGGTTTTCAATGTGAAATGTGTACATTTTTCTGAAGTAGTGTGTGAGGAATTAATTTGATCCACGAGACAAAAAATGGGTGATTCTTACCAGGCTGAGATCCTGGGTTCATGCTATTTGTGCCTGTGATTAGGAATGAGAAAGTTTCAAAAGTGATTATGAATACAGAGCCGAATGGTTGGTTCGCTGAAAGACAGTATGCCTCTAAATTGTGAATCAAAAACTACTTCAATTTATAAGCTATCTGCTAATGTGCTATCATTAGATCGACACGATTATCGTGAATTCCGATTGTTATAAATACCATGTGTCAGATGGTTTTACCTGAAAGATGCATGATGCATTCCAAATCGTGATCATGTGCCATTTCGACTGCCAGTAAGCTGACCAATGTTTATTTGTATTCGCAAAAAATGTGACTCGCTTTCCAGTTGATTATTACCACCATCTCCTAATTCTGTAGACTTGGTTGGTTTCTTTGTTCAAATAATGTAGATAGTGGCCTTGATACCCTCGCCATAGTGATCACATTCGATGACTCTCCTTGATGTAAAAACTTTACATTAGGAAAACAACCAAGATCACTGGTTTTTAGAATCGTCTCTCCGGTTGCTCTACCTTTCCCGTTGGTGCAAAATGGCCATTTGAAGTGAAGTAAGCAAGGGAAGATATGCAATTCAACGACTTTAGTTGGCACGCACCAGCGAGAATTCGTGGCAGGTAAAAGTTCACAAAAAGATGGTTTCAGACCCAAATCCACGTGTAATTCCTCAGGTACTATATCCAATGATTTGCTCAGTATCCTGTCAGGATCCACGAAACATAATGACATGGGCTCATTGTGAACGTGTTAAGCCTGACAACCAAAAAAATCCATCTCCGCACGTCAGAGATTCATGTCCGACAAACGATTAGTTGAGGATGGGCCTTTTCAAGTTTCAGCTGACGTTAACCAACTATAAAATCAATAGCCTTCAACTTGAAACATCTCAGCTTGGCTGTTACCGAAATTAACGCAAATACAAGACTTCTGGGGGATATTGTTGGCAGTTCAAAAAACCAGTTTCCTAGTCGTCAACAGAATTCCCCTAATCTTGATACTGAAGCTTTCTTGATTAACTCCAATGACTTGATGTGACAGGATTTACGAATAGAAGAACTTGTGCAGAGACCGTCTTTGGGAAACATGAAACTTAACACAAGGGCACGGTAGAAAAATGTTGATTCACCCACTCGTACAGGTTTACGTCAATTGAGAGACCCCTTTTTATTTCGAAATCTGCTCACATGATTATCAGCAATATAAATGTTTCATATGATAGGGTGTAGCTATTGATCCTGTGTTCAAGTAATTAAATGTGGCCAGCACATACATTCATTTTACTCCAAATGGTTTAACCGCTGAAAAATATGTTAACATATTTTCATGTCTGTTCACTAGTGAACTCACTAGACAAACTCCTTGTGTTCTCATACGGGATGAATTAAATACCAGTGCACAGTATTCTAGGGATTTCTTACTTTGATGTATGAGCACTTGAGGATGTGCACCTAAAGATTGAATTGGGTTCAATCGAAACAATTTTTTAATTAGTATTTTGTAAGGCTATGTTCTAGATGTTTTCAACGCAGGCTATTACTTCTGAGTTTGCTTGATTCTTGGTCATTCCTTATCATCTGATTATTATTCATATCAATAAGGCTTACTGAACTTTAGAACACTACCCGTTGCTAACATATAAACCTTTGTAAACGACGAACGGGTCTACCAAGAGGAAAGTGCTGCAACACATAAAATCAATTGAAGGTGTGAGAGGAACTGACTGCGGATACGAAATGATACCGCGACAAGCATGTACACAAAAACAAGCTTCAACTAAGAAAGTGCGAGTACACGTATACAAAAATACACAGGAAAGTATTGGTTGAGGAACAAGGGGAACTCGTTGTTAGTGAAATCGACAGTTGCTGATGAGAACAGACACCAGATGTATGCCAGTATACTTGCTTCTCATTCAACCACGAAACTATGCACACAGACTAAATGAAACTTTGAAATAGCGCTAAAATAGTGATGTTTATAGGGGTTATATTCAAGTACGTCACCAGTTAGTCCATTTTCATGTGCGTAATCAAAGGCCAAAGTAGGCATCATTCAGCTTCATGCAAAGGCGCCAGATATGTGAAAGAATCAAATGTACAGAGCGTATACTTCAATTACCGATGCATTCCAAACCTCTTAATTCTTTAAGTTCATTAGCGCAGTAAGCTGGTTGTGCGAATTCACGTTTGTGATACCACTTACTTTGGGCAAACAGACTTTTCTTCGGCCAAGTGGTTCAATATAATAAGCAAAGTATGCTTCTTTGAACCTGAATAACTGAGTATTTTATTCAGCGGACACATGAACACACAAAATATCCTAAAGATCAGGCAAGCAATAAAGTTTACGAAGTGCGCTTTACTTACCTTGTGAATAAACGTATGATGAAGCACCTGAGAATGAATTTTGGAAAGTCATTATGGCATTTGAGATTTTGTGAAAAATGAACAGAACTGGTATGATTCAAAAGTAAATTCATATTTGTCAAATGACCAGTGAAGTATCTATTTTCTGTCATGTATTTTAAACATCCAGGGAAAATACGTACTATGAATGCCACCACGACGAAATCCTGCAAGAAAGTAATGAATGGAGCTGATATCACACGGGTATTGAAGGATATCGAGATGATTATTAGATGTGCTTTTCATATTCATGTCAGTCTGAGTTACAATAATCAATAAGCTAAATTTATTAGTATTCCTTTGCTATGGAACGTCATTGCGTGTACAGTAGGAACACTTCGGGACTTACGTTTCATATCAAAATCGAAAATTCTCTCGAATGACAGAAATTACCAGTAAGGAAACATTTCGCTTGGATCAACTTTACCATTTATAAGATAAAGATCGTTCCCAAAGGTTCTCAATGATATCACAACTAGCAGTGTTAATGTCAGAGTTTTCCCACACAAATTTGCAAACTTTCAGTGAAAGTAAAAATGAGGCACTTTCAGTAGAATTCAAAGGAGCATCCAATCAGAACATAATTATTATTTAAGATATTTTTCTTTTCACGGTAGAACATAATTCATATTCACTTTGGCAATCATGAAGATAGTGTTAGGCAAAGTTAAAAAATGATGTACGTGACAAATTTGAGAAATTACATGACTATCATAATATCGAAAAACGTTTAGCATATCTTTATAAAACTCTCGGGACCAGGTGTGATTCAATCGTTTTCTGAATTACATTATATATGGGTGAATTATCTTACCCAAACTGTGTATTTTTTCATATGCCGTTATGATCCATACCAACAAACGGATAGATGATTTAAGGACATCGAAGCTAACATGGAAGTAATTATTTACAACAGGGTAGAACTATATTGTGTTGAGGGATCCTAGAAAAGACTTAGTTTGGTACGTACCGCCCATTTCTGGATTGAATTGAAGCAAATTGAATAAAAAACGTGAAGGAAGTGAAAACAGGAAGGCCATTTCCGAAGCTGTATCTTGGTCATATGATCTGAACTCTCGAGGTGAGCGCAGTATTGCATCCCTTTACCTCCTGGTTATGCATAGTGTCTACTTTTAATTACATTAGTGACAACATGCTACGTAGAGTTTATAGAATAAAATAAACTAGCGGCGCTGAAACTTCATGTTTCATTGTTGTATGAGATCAGCTTTTCCGTATCACCTCATGCATTCTGGTCATTTCGATTCAACCAATGAACTTGACGTTATCTGAAAAATTTTGGTGACACATTTGGAAGGCGCATGTTGGCAAACGTGCTTGTTTTTATTTATTATTATTCATGCCAACTCAACACGTTACGTACCGCGGGATACTTTTGTGTCTGGTTAAACTCGCGCGCACTACCCGGACAACCGAAGAGTATTACTTTCATGGATGGACACAAGCCTGCTTTGCCCCAATCTTCAGTCACGCTTTACAGCCGGCAATAATGGCTTATCGATTTTACAATGTACTGAGTAGAGTAACACTTATGCGTTTAAAAACACATGTAGTTAAACTCTTTTTGCTATCTTACTTGCTCGCTGTCGGCCTTCTCACCGGCTGCGGGCTGGTTTTGTGTGTACCTCTGTACAAGTAAATGCACTGCCACCACTGAGTATTCTCCCCCTAACTGAAAACACTACAGATACATATAGGGCACAGTCAACGAAGGGAGACGTAAGTTTACTCGTAAACACGAGATAAGAGTGTAAGCCCCCGGATGGCCTGAAACCTGCCATTGGATTGTACGTGGGCCAGAATATACTGTTTGTATGCACAAAGTGATTCTGAGCTCACAAAGGGATAGTGGAAGCGCAAACCAAACAGTTTAGCCCGCACCAAAGTTGTGACATACCACCGATCAGGACATTCAACTTCGGACCTTATATGGAGGAGGAAACCTTGGCCAAAGTTCTTCTAATGGTTAATACCAATCAGGTATAAAATGACGGCATTGATAACTGACTCAATTGCCCCAATCCCCAAACACGCTGGGTGAGGCACGCGGATGCGCACAGGTAGGTATCTGGTGGCGCGGCCCGTACTCGGCGCTCCAGAAGAACAAGAAAAAGGATACTCAGAAATCGAGGCTGACAACTTAGACACATTTACTTTCAACCACAAATGAATAGGTGGTTTGAGGGTAAACAAAGCACCAAGTCCAGAACAATAGGCTTTCATGCTTTAAAAGTTGATAAAATACTGAAAATAACGAATGGCAAACGGCCATTCCTATTGTTGTGGAAGGCGATAACAAGATCTATCAAATACGGTTGTATATCTAACAGATCAGGGCATAAGTAGAAGAGGTTATCGAAAATTACACAAGGAATTTGAAGAATTTGGTATAGAGTAAAATCAAGAAACTTACGCCGAAAAGGAGCAGCTGTGGGAACAATTCAGGCAAATAATTAGATGCATTGCTACAAACCAAACTTATATACCATTCGTGATCAAATTCATTCCGAACAAATCCCAAAGTTGCGCAAGATAAGAATCAACCAGTATAAACTCATTAAACGCGTATCATACTTACTGACAAAATCTAGACCATTTGTAGAAGCGGGGACATAATGAAAGGTGATTTGTATTGTTATTTCATTGGGAAAGCGCGAAATCAAGCAAAAAGTATCGCAAAGTGGTACACAGCATTCTTTTCCAAATAGATTCATTTGCCTGTGCGAAACAGATATGCACGGTTACTAAAAAGTGACTAGCGAATTCATTTAGAAGATTTTACGAACAATTGAATGCCAGGAAAAGGTGAAATGAACGAAACTGTACCTTTCACAAATCTTCCGGCACCTATTTTACCCAACAAATCACAACAATTTATTCTCATTGTATTGCATCTGACTTCTGAATGTGAAATTTTGTGACAAGATGACTCATTTTGCGTCAAATGACCAAACATTGCTTGCTTTTTCTGATCACGTCTAAGTCGTGGACGGATATACTTTTGGAAATTTTGACCATTAGCAAAACGAACACAGAATATTATATGATCGGCAACGTTCACGGTGAAGAATTATCCCATTGTGTTATGGGCATACATCGAAGGTTTCAACAGAACAATCAGTGCAACAATTCCGAATAACGTGAAATCAACTACAACAACAAAGCAACTAATTCAAATTATTTACCTCGAATTTTGTCTTTCAGATCTGGTGTCAAATAGAGAATGTTGAGAAATATACAGTGTTAGCATTCTGCGCTCACACTAATGAACATGCAAACTGTTCAATAGGACATTGTCCTCGAAAACAATCTAGTGACTAGTTATATTTTCAAAACATCAATCTGTTATTATACTGTTATAGAATAACACACTGATGGTAATCGTCCAATTCCATCATTGGGATGAAAGTGATCAGGAATTTTGCACCGTTTTGTTTCATTCATAACAGAGCTAACAACCGACGGCTTGTTCATCTGTTTCATTTTAGACATTAGTTTCCTCGGAAAGGCTGTCAGGTTTTGTTGTTACCTGTATAATGCAATCATCATATTGTATTTCTAAATTCAAAGGCATTCATCATGTTGAAAACTAGCATTGGAGCATTGGGATGATAACTGTAGCATATAACCATAGTAATGAACGCACGATCGCGTTCTTAGTGGTCGGTGGAAATAGAACAATCATTTACGTTGGAAATATTCTACGCAAAATCTGTAGTCAGATTGGCTACTTTTGAGATTCGAGACAATAAGCAGCTTGCAAATGGGAAATGCCGTGTGCAGAGAATTTCTGACCACGTATTCGCTTCTGGGTTCTGAGGTACACTCTGGACAAAACAATAAAGTTTGTGTCAGGCCCCCGTATTGGTTCCCATGATTTTCGCAAAATGAGGGTATAGGTGGTTCCATCTCGAACCCGCACACAGATTCTATTCAAGTGCACGTGGGCAATCTGTACTTCCAATGTGAGGCCGAATGTGTAGAAACAAACAGTGACCAATATCCTTTGAATGAGGGATTACAACCACGTCATAGTCCACCAGATCTTCTACTCAGCTCCTTGATTTCGTTCATTGGAATGATGAATACAGGAGTCATGAAAAGATCTTATTCGTCCATATCTCTATGAATGTGAGCATGTTCCGACTGGAAACGTAGACAGGAGGGCCAGCAAAATACATACGCACAATTTGGTTTTCATGATATTTCTTTCACTGTTTGTATTAAAGGATGACTGTGATAATGAGGATGACAAATGGATTGGTCTCACTGACAGAGTATCAGAATTTGCATAAATGACTGTGTAATGGGATCTTATATCAATTGTATATTACTTGAACAACTTTGGGAGAGTGAAAACCTAAAGATTAGCCATAAAATGCTACTTGAATTCACGTTTGCACGTACGTGAGGCGGTGGCAGAAAAATTATTGTGAACACACAGTAATTACTCTCTGATCAATTTTTCTCTTCTTGATCATGTGAATTTTCCATCAGAATTCGCTGTTTCTAGTTCTTAGATATAAGAATTTACCATATTGTCGTGAACTACTTTCACAATGGTACAAGACTAACAAGAATGTCACTGTATGGAAAAATCGTTCACCAGTTTATTGGTGGATGGATACGTGGATTGCTGCACAAATAATTAGAAACCCCTAGTGAAAAGAAGGTGAACAAATGACTGTTTTGCTCTTTGCTCGGTATCGATGCGACCAAGTTATGAGTATGCCGGGATTGAGTCAATTGCCTCAGTGAAGTTTCGATTAACATTTGATAATTTGGGAGACATTTGTTTGGATAACTGCAGTTCGTTTGTTTTCGTGATCGCTATCGAACAAATGAGGATTCTGACGAATAATATTACGCATCGGTGCTTGATGACGACGGTGAAACGCGTCAATTACCAGGTTTTTCTTGTGGGCATAACTGAGTAGAGCGGAAGCAAATTCTTTTCGAATAGATTTCTATGAAACTAATATGTACACGAGGATTGGGCAAATTCGATGACCAAACTTGATTTCCTCTTTTGAGTGAGACCGTGTTCCCACAGCTATTTCACGATATATGATTTCAAAAAGAGGTTGAATAGAAACTCACAAGGGATTTTCTCGTCGCGTACATCTACGCAAATTACCAATACAATGAAACAGATATGGGATAATCAAATACGCCGAAATACAATTCATCTACGCAGGTATACCAAACACGCGATAAGTGAAACAGAATGC